TTGTCATCATTCAGTGATAGAATAATCACTCATACAAATCTTTATCAAATTCAAGTAAATGAGGCTACAAAGTTAATGCTCGAAGCATGTCATTGCGTCTATCAAGTTTGGTGGATCAAGATCATTGAAAATCATGAATGTTAGCAGTTGAGTAATCTACATCAACATGAGGAATTATTGTTTTTAACTCGTGTTGGCTAAAACATTGTGCTGTTAGTGTTTGATTTGATAATAATTTGTTCTACCAAAAATATTTGTATCTTTAACTTTAAAAATAGTGGAAGACGTTACCATTTCCGATGGTGAAAATCATCAAATAATTGAGTAGGCATAGCGAGGACGAATTTCCAAACCACTATATATCTAGTGCACATTTTCTCTCCCTGTCTCTTTAAGGAAACATAGGATATTGAATTCATTCACCATATTTTGCTCCTGCTCATTATCTTTCACTTCCGTGCTTTAACTCTGAATTTGTGAAAAGTAATTGTTTTTGAACTCTAGTGTTTTTAAAGGAAAATATATATTCAACCCCCATTCTAGAACTTCTTGTATCTACATTCTCGCCTAACATATCCAACCCATATACACCCTTAATTATTTTAACCCTTCTAATATCCCTTCAACCAAAAAAACACCTAAATTTCAAATGTTCTTCACCTTTTAGCCATATCATCAAAATATCTTTATCAAATTCACCTTCTTCGATCTTGGAAGAGAATTATGATTCTCATAAAAAAGTCACGAAAAAAGACAATATATTAAATAGTATCATATGTGGTTTATGTAGCTTATAGTTTAATCATTTTAAATGATTTATATTTCAATAAATATTAGTTTAATATTTTAAAGTAATGAATAATTTGAGAAAAATAAATAATTTAAAATATATATTTATTTTTATAATAAAATAGAGAGTGATGCTTATGGGATCTCATATTAAATTTCATACTATTAAAGGAAAAAGTCTTTTAAGAAAAATCACTATAGTTTAAATGTAGTTCTAATTAATTCTAATTTTAATATCAAATAAATAATATATCATATGCATCACTATCAAACTATTATAATATCAAACTATTATAATTTTAATTAATTCTAGTTTTAATTAATTCTAATTTTAATATCAAACTATTCTAATCATATATCATATCATACTATTATACTACATTCATCACAATGATTAACATTTAATAATAAAAAAACAACAAAAAACTATTAAAACATTTAATAATAAAAATTCTCAATGTTCAATTGATATGATAAAAATAAAAAATCATGAGATGGAAAGAGCAATATAATATCATTATTATGAAACGTGGGATAGGCAGTGTTTGTGTGGCAACTTTGGAGTATATTGTCTGTACTTTAGCATTATTCCGATTTAACAATCTAATTTAATAAATTTGTTGCTTTTCATTTTTGTTTTCATTTTGGTTTTCATTTTCTCTCTGAGTTGATCTTCACGCCCTCGCTTCTTTTTGGTCCCTCCCTCCACTAAATTAGGGTTTACAGCAGCACCTCCTTCAACTTGACCTAGATTTCCCAAGTCCATCAACTTTCATCTTCTTCTACCTCCCACATGTTTTGGAAACTCGCCTCTTTTTCTGCTTCCTCTCATGTGAGTTTTTCGTTTCACATTGCACTTTTTCAGTTTGATATCGCTACTTCAGTTACTTTCCCTTTTTGAATTAATCTCATTTATTTACCATTCGTAATTGCCTATTTATTGTTGTTTTTTGAATTATTATGCTAATTATACTTATTGCGTTATGTGATTATATCTTAATTTATGCTATTTGGATTGGTTTTAAATGTTTTAGGTTTTTTTAACTGTGTTATAGCAACTTATAGGTGAATTCGATGTTATTAGAGGGATATTAATTGCGAAATATTGGTCCATCTTCGAAGAACACAATATACTATAAAGAACTCATTCGGATTTGGTTAAATCAAAACTGGGGCAGTCGTCAACCTTTTATTGAGCTCTATAAAACACTATTCACATTGCATATTCCATACAAAAGTCGAGTCAACTGAGTTAAAGGCAACACCAAACTTTGAGAAGCCTTAGATGAATCTCATGTTATAACCCGCCTAAGTGATCAACTTAACCATTAACATAATGATTGTTAAATTTACAACTAAATTAAGAGAAACCAATAACTATGCCAAGTTACTGAAGCAATCGTGTGATGTATAACAAACATATCTTACAGTAATCCTTATGATGGCATTAACGTGGAATACAAGTAACAAGAGTATTGAGATGTGGTTGGGCCTAATTCAATCCTACAAAACCGGCTTGTAGGGTGAGGATTGCCCCCACTTATAAACACATGTTCAGGCCATATATTGTCCGATGTGGGACTCTTAACACACCCCTCACGCCCAGGACTAGACAACTGGAGCGTGGAAATTAAATGGTGGATGGCCCACTGGATCTTAAACGAGGCTCTGATACCATATTGAGATGTGGTTGGGCCTAATTCAACCCTACAAAACCGGCTTGTAGGGTGAGGATTGCCCCCACTTATAAACACATGTTCAGGCCATATATTGTCCGATGCGGGACTCTTAACAAAGAGACTAAAAAACCTTAGCACAAAGAACCTAGTACTAGCGCATAAAACTTATCTCCAACATGAGAATTGAGCATCCTTAAATAACAACACATTCTAGAATTTTCTCCTTTGAGTCTCCTAATTAAATTCGTCCAGAATAATAACTGAATATGCCATATTCGATTTGCTCCATAAAAATCTCAAACAAAAGATATAATTTAAAATTAAAAAGATATTTCAAATTCAAAATTAAATCTCCATTTAAATCTGATTAAATCCTAATCAGAAATTTCACACCTAGCAACATCCATCACGGCCTGTTGATCAGGGCCATATGTTGTATTAAGCACATGTTAGAACATTGTGTTTCATATGTTGTACAAAAACATCCAAATTACTTTCTTCATAAATATTCTATATAAAGTGAATGTTGGATATAGTAAGTTTGAACCAAAACTTCAATAACATCTATTTGTTATCAGAGATCAGATGTTGTAGCACACATGTTATAACATCGTGTTCCACATGTGTCCCTTCTGCATCAGAAGCAACTTGAACATACTCCATTTTGTTTTACATAATGTAGTCAATCCAAAAGGAACAACATTGACCATAATTGAGAGAAACTCTTTAATAAACTATTGAGTTTTTTTTTTTGCGTTGTGTACCTAGAAAATCTAGAGAGAAACCATGAGAAGATTTCTTCATTCACCAACAAACTATCTCTGAAATTCAACCTTGTGAGAAACCTCATAGAATGTTGAGAGTGTGAGAATTATACAATTATATTATGTGAGATTATTTAGGCATTATCCATCATCTTCAACTTATATTAAGAAACCATTATTATGGATCTCAATTATAAAGATCGAGTGTGAGAGGTAGATTAAGGTACATTAGAGAAACTAATATTTTTTGTGTAAAGTTTGCCTGTTTGTATCAAGACAAATGATCATCTCCAATTTACATTTTTGGTTGATGCTTATCAAATAAGAAAGAGTTTTCTTCATACTCCAAGAAAGACTTTGATGAATCCGAGTAAAGGTTATTGTAGAATAAAGTCAGAGTTGTCATCATTCAGTGACAGAACGATCACTCATACAAATCTTTGTTAAATTCGAGTAAACGAGGCTACAAAACTGGAACTTGAAACATGTCATTGGGTCTATCAAGTTTGGTGGACCAAGATCATTGAAGATCATGAATGTTATCAGTTGAGTAATCTACATCAACACGAGGAATTACTGTTTTTAATATGTGTTGGCTAAAGCATTGTGCTGTTAGTGTTCAATTTGATAATAGTTTTTTGTACCAAAATACTTGTATCTTTAACTTTAAAATAATGGAAGATGTTTCCATTTGCGATGATGAAAATCATCGAATAGTTGAATAGGCATAGCGAGGACGAATTGCCAAACCACTGTATATCCGATGCATATTTTTCTCTCCTTATCTTTTTAAGGAAACATGGGATATTGAATCCATTCACCACATTTTGCTTCCGCTCATTATCTTTCACTTCCGCGCTTTAACTCTGATTTTGTAAAAAGTTATTAATTTTGAACTCAAGTGTTTTTAAAGGAATCAATATATTCAACCCCATTCTAAAACTCAGTGTATCTACATTCTTGTCTAACATATCTAACCCAGACACATCCATAATTATTTTAACCCTTCTAATATCCCCTCAACCAAGAAACATATAGACTTCAAATATTCTTCACCTTTTAACTATATTATCAAAATATTTTTATCAAATTCACCTTTTTTGATGTTGAAAAAGAATTATAATTTTCATAAAAATGTCACGAAAAGAGACAATATATTAAATAATAAATAGAGAATGATACTTATAGAATCTCATATTAAATTTCATACTAATAAAGAAAAAATCTTTTAAGAAAAATAATTATAATTTTAAATTGAAATGTAGTTTTAATTAATTCTAATTTTAATATCAAATCAATAATATAGCATATGCATCACTATCAAACTAATTATTAATCATATACCATACTATTATAAGTACACTCATCACAATGATTAACATTTAATAACTAAAAAAAAATATTAAAAGCATTTAATAATATAAATTTCCAATGTTGAATTAAAATGATAAAAAAAAAAATCATGAGATACAAAGAGCAATATAATATCATTATTACGAAACGTGGGATAGGCAGTGTTTGTGTGGCAATTCCGGAGTATATCGTTTGTACTTTAGCGTTATTCCGATTTAACAACTTAATCAATTAATTTTGTTGGTTTTCATTTTCACATTCATTTTGGTTTTCATTTTCTCTCTCTGAATCGATCTTCACGGCCTCGCTTCTTTTCGATCTCTCCCTCCACGAAATTAGGGTTTACAGCAGCACCTCCTTCAGCTTGACCTAGATTTCCCAGATCCACCAACCTTCGTCTTCTTCTACCTCCCACATGTTTTGGAAACTCGCCTCTCTTTCTGCTTCCTCTCCCGTGAGTTTTTCGTTTCACTTTACGCTTTTTCAGTTTGATTTCGCTACTTCAGTTACTTTCCCTTTTTGAATTAATCTCATTTATTTACCATTCGTAATTGCCTATTTATTGTTGTTTTTTTGAATTATTATGCTAATTATGCTTATTGCGTTTTCTGATTACCGTAATTTCTGTTGTTTGGATCGGTTTTACATGTTTTAGGTTTTTTAAACTGTGTTATAGCAACTTATAGGTGAATTCGTTGTGATATGGGGGATCTTAATTGGGAAATATTGATTCTCTTTAGCGAATTAATTGATTTTGTTTTGCTTCTGCAATTTAGCTATTTTGTATTGGTTTTTCCGCAATGAAAAAAGGTGTGTTCATGAGAGTGGAAGAAACCGACACTGACACTTGTGATTATCGTTAATTTATTATTTTTTCTAATTATTACCATGGTGTCAGCGTCAGCTTTGTGTTTTTGGTGTCCGTGTTTTATAGTTTTTCAGTAACGGATACGGTGACATGTCATATTTAATGGGATGTTATAATTAGAATGTGAATATTGAGCAATGAAAAGCCCTTGAGTTTTAAGTGGTGTTTGGATTTCCGTTTGAAAATTGTGAAATTGCGGTTTGGGTTAAAGCTGGTTTTGTGTAGTTCTTGCCCAAATTTTGATTTATTATAACAGAATGATTCATGTAGCCCACCCCACTTAGTGGGCTAAGGCTTGGATGTTGTTGTATAACGGATTGATTCACTTTTAAGATTTCGGTATTTGTTTTTTATACTTCTCATAAGTTAGGAATGCACTTTTATGATTGAACGCGTTGAAACTAATGTTTGAACGTTTATGAGGATAACTTAATTGAGAATCAATGTTTTAACTATCGAGTAGCTCAAAATTTGCATAGCTCATTTTCTTATTTCATTGTCTCCTCCTCTTTTTTTATTTTTTATTTATTTATTTATTTATTTTTATTTTTTTTTTCTGTTTTAAGTGTTTTTTTTTTTTGACGTTGCTTGTGTTGTGCAGGTGGAGGCTATATTAGACAAGGATAATTTCACTTTAGAAGAGCTTCTGGATGAGGAGGAAGTAATCCAAGAATGCAAGGCCTTAAACAGTCGTCTTATCAATTTGTATGTTTTCATTTAGTTTCAACCAAGAGTTTTATTCATTTTCCTAACTAGTCTCACAGTTTTGTGCGTTTTCTTTCGAGTAAATCAACATTTTAGTCCTTGAAATGTGTCTGTTTATTTAGTCCCTTAGATTGCATGTCGGTCAATTTAGTCCCTGTTCCAAATTTAACATCATTGTTTTGAAGGTTCTATGTTTGTCTTGACGCACCAAGTGATGATTCAAGTCAATATGTTAAGTCTTTCCTTGATTTCAATGGATGTTTACTTAAGAAATATTTCGGGGGAAGGACTAAATTGTCTTACTTTCGTTAATCTAAGGAATTAACTTGCCATTTTGTAAATTTGAGGAACTAAATTGCTCTGCTCTTATAATTTCGAGGACTATATGTTTGGGGATAGCTGGAGTTGAATAAATACACAACACTAAATAGATGGGCTATCATAAAGACGATTCAACAAAAAGTAATTGATAATTTACTATTTTTCACTTTTAGTTTGAGAGATCCAGCTCAGGTTGAGCAATTGCTACGCTACATTATCGAAGAACCACCACAAGATGCTGAAAGTAAACGGACCTTCAAGTATGCAGTTGTAACATTATTTTTTTCTGTGAAAGAGCTTTAATTAATTATTTCATTTTTTTGTTACCATCTGATTATTTGACTGTACTTTAGGTTTCCATTCATTGCCTGCGAGATTTTTACATGTGAAATTGATGTCATCTTGAAGACTTTGGTGGATGAAGAAGAGGTTTATACTTCACTCTGTCTGACTCTTTATTGTGATTGAGGCTGTATAATTATGTCTTGCTTGTATTGATTTCCTTTTTTTATCCTTGTAATTTCAGTTGATGAACTTATTATTCTCCTTTTTGGAGCCTAATCGTTCCCATAGTGCCTTGTTGGCTGGCTACTTTAGCAAGGTATATGTTGGATAAAACTGGAGCTTTAGTTTGCTTGTTATTTTTGTCTACGTTTCTTATCTGATTATATTAATACTATCTACTTGATGCTGTTTTTGATGTCATTTTACAGGTTGTTGTTTGCCTAATGATTCGAAAGACAGTGTCACTTATGAATTATGTTCAGGCAAGTTAAAAAATGCACTCATATAGTTCAGTTCTGTATTGCTTATTCTATTTGATATTACAGTTTTATGGAGAAAGAAAAACTCATCCATCACAATGTATGTTACTTGTTGCAGGCCCATCAGAATGTTTTTCGCCAATTGGTTGATTTGATTGGAATCACATCCATTATGGAGGTAAACTTTTACCTTTCCGTTCTTAATTATAACAGTACCTTGGACTGGTAAGAATTGATTCTGAAATTTGTTCATTGTACAGGTTTTGGTTCGATTAGTAGGCGCCGATGACCATGTGTATCCCAATTTTATTGATGTGATGCAATGGTTGGCTGAGAGCAACCTGCTCGAAATGATTGTTGATAAATTAAGTCCATCTGTAAGTGAAGCATATATCCAGGTTTATGTTTTCTGAGCCAGCTTTTACATGTTAGCTATATGATAACAATGCATTTGCATTTGGCTGGATGCCATACATACATATTTTAGCTGCATGATGCATATGCCCTTTGTTTGCATGTGTTAAATAGGCTCTTTACTGCCTTGTTTTTTTTCCCTGCAAATCATCTTACAACTTTCTTCTTCCCTATTTAAACCAGTGCCCCCCTGAAGTTAATGCCAATGCAGCTGAAACATTATGTACAATAACACGAAATGCCTCATCTACTCTAGCAATTAAATTATCAAGCCCAAGGTTTGCATCGGGAAACTTCATAATTTTTCTTTCGATATGTATCTGTTAAATAATTGTTATATTTATACTTTTTCTAAACATGCAGTTTTGTCGCAAAAATTTTGGGCTATGCATTGGAAGATTCACAATCGAAGTCTACCCTTGTGAACTCACTTTCCGTGTGTATTTCCTTGTTGGACCCGAAAAGATCTAATGTACCATCTCCCCTTTTTCATTCATTCCGAAGTCAACACATGTATGAGCCACATATTCCTGTAAAGCCAGAGACTATTAGTGCAATGTTCCCTAAACTCAGTAAGATGGAACTGATGTTTTTTTTTTTTAATTTTTAATTTCTGTTGTCAGTAGTTTATATGCTCATCATCCAAGCTTTCAATTTAGTCATAAAACCAGTTATTTCAAATGTTATGGACTATGCTACATAAGCTATCAATTTCGTTATCCATATCACATCTTCATGGCTTTCCTTTCTACAGGTGACTTGCTAATGCTTTTGAGTGTGTCGTCCGATGAGAAAGTATTGCCTACAACATATGGAGAATTGAGACCTCCACTTGGGAAGCATAGATTAAAGGTTAGTTTTAACGGTTTCCCCCATCAATTGTAGGGTGGTTGCTATGGCTCCCACCTTGTGCAGTCCATGGTTTCAAACATCTTTTTGTGATATATCATAAATTTTTGCAAATTCAATAAAAATCATTAGATGATAAGAATATCTTTTATTACATCTTAATATTATGTAGAATATCTCAGAGTATTTGTTAGGATTAGTTTCCTATCTTGGAGTAGATTAGTTTCTATATTTCTTAGTTATTACTGTGAATTGTTTGCCTCTTATTTCTGAGCTGTGCAATTTTTTTGTTCCAGATTGTTGAGTTCATTGCAGTCCTCTTAAAAACCGGAAATGAAGCTGCAGAAAAAGAAATGGTCAACTCGGGAACCATTAAACGAGTTATTGATCTTTTTTTTGAGTAAGCAAATATATATATTTTATTTTATTTGACAGACTAGTGGGTATTCCAAGAAAACGTTGATGTCTTATGGATATTGCTTATTTTTACCGATAACATGCTATTCTGTGCGTTCTGCTTCTGCAGGTATCCATATAATAATTCATTACACCATCATGTTGAAAGTATTGTCTTATCATGTTTGGAGAGTAAAACTGATGCCATTGTTAATCATCTTCTGCGAGATTGTGATTTAATTGAAAGGGTTATCCAAGCAGATAAACATTCTGTTCTCTCTTCCGACAGAAATCTGGTACATGGATGCTTCAAACTTATAAATTGGATGTTGTCATGGTCATTAGATTTTTCAATATTTTTATAAATGATATGTATAGCTCACAACATTTCATTTCTACACTGCCATGAAGTATACTGGAACCAATTCATTCAACTTGTGTTATTTTTCAGCCAACTGTACCTGCTACTGGAAAACAGGCACCACGGGCAGGAAACATTGGCCATATTACTCGAATTGTTAACAAACTTGTTCACTTGACACACAGCCGAAGCCACATACTGACATGTCTTCAGGTTAGCATATTTATAGGTTTATGAAAATTTCATGATTCAGTTATTTTGAACTATTGACATAAATTTATTAAAATATGTAAATTATACCTTGAATTTCTATCCTCGACCATTCTGCTTAGAAATTTTTAAATTTTCATAAAGACTTGTTTGAAACAAGATGGCGGTGTCTCTTGTTATTAGCATCCTTCCTGATATGCATAACACACCTTGGTAATTTTTTATTTAAAAATGACATTAACATCATAGTTCACGGATTACACCTCTAGCTTTTGGTGTCTCGTGTTAAAATTATTCGCATGCTGTTTTTTTATCTCTTAATTTTATTTCATATATTGAATTTTGGACAAGCAAACATGTAATTAAAAACAAATGAGTTATTTTTGCATATAAATGGTAAAGCCTTTGGTTGTCGAATTAACCTTGTATTGCATTCAGGAAATTAGGACCATGAGGCCGAACTTACATGTTGAGTTTATTGGAATGTATTTTTTCTTTTATTTCAATTTGTTGTTCTTAACATCTGCAGGAGAATAGTGAATGGAATGAATGGCAGGCTACTGTGCTTCAGAATCGTAATGTGGTTGAGAATGTTAACCGTTGGGCTTGTGGGTAAGCTCTGATGATCTCATTTATCTTGATCTAAATCCTTAGCAACAGTCAACAAAGAGGATGGACTTTTTATTTTCTCATGCGTAACTTCTTTGTTTGAAGTGTTGCATTGGTTGCAGTACTATAGTTGTAAAAGCTAGACCACACCTTTACATGGTTGGTCTTGTGACCAGGTTATTTGACCAATAAGGGTTGGGGACTTGATATTCACTAATCAATATTAGATATAGAGTAGATTTAATTGTAATGTTACTTTTTATTGACTAAATTGATGTGAGGCCATTAGGTATGATAATGATGAGTATGCATGTAGTATGTATTCTTCAGTGTATGATAAAGATGTAATAACTATAAACATGGATCATAAACTTTTTCATTTTAGAAATTCAAGTGAAGTCACAATCTTCGGTTGGGCCTTTTACATAGTTTTGTGATCTCTATTGTGAGTTCTGTCTCATTTTATTTTCTCTTCATTTTTCCTGTTCCTGTGCAGACGCCCGACTGCTTTACAAGATAGGATGAGGGATAGCGATGACGACGACATTCATGACAGGGACTATGATGTTGCAGCTTTAGCTAATAATTTGAGTCAGGCCTTTAGATATAAACTTTATGGGAATGAGGATAATGAAGAGGTTTGTAGTTGGCCTCCTCTTCCCCTCTGTGCAATGCATGCATATTACTAATATTGTATGTGCATTTTTTAAATTCTGTACTTTTTAAAGTTTTAGCTTCTGTGAGTTGCCTTATGGGCTGAGCACTGCAACTTACATTTTGGACCAATACGTTGATTGACTTTATTGCAGGAACGTGGAAGCCATGATCGAGATGATGAGGTACTAGTTTTAGTTTATTCTTGGTAGTTCTGAACTCAGTTGATTTTAGGAATTTTGAGAATTTGCGTCACCATGTCATAGTCAAATTATGTTGCAAAGAGATCACATGACAATCACTTGCTTTTTCTTAACTATTTTGATAGCTAATTTATCTGATGTATGAAATCCAGGATGTCTACTTTGATGATGACTCTGCCCAAGTAGTCATATCGTCTCTAAGACTCGGTGATGAACAAGGGAGGTGAGTCTGTTTATTTTGTTACATGACTTATAAATTTGTTAGAATGAGTATGTCATGCAGATTAATAAGTCTTTTTATTTTGTTACATAACTTATAAATTTGTTAGAATGAGTATGTCATGCAGATTACTAAGTCAGTTTAATATTAATTAATTTTAAGAGTTGTAAACTGGTGCTTGGGTTTGATAAATAAGTGAAATAATATAAGATTGCTACTCACTCTAAGTAACATTCTTTTCAACACTCGTTATATTATTGGGTGAAATTCATGTGGGTGCCACCATATTGAAAATTGGCATACATTAACCCACATGATTTAAGAGAGTGGGTGCTGGAAATAGTGTTGTTAACACTAATAATATAATCTTACTAGTATACCGTGACAGTCAAATATTTTTCCGGTTTTCTTTAATGCTCCGTCTTCCACATGATATCATTGTTTAATTAATTTTTAGGGAAACTTCAAGATGACTACATTGTAGTAGGTCGTATAGATTAGTTACCGATTAGAGAGAGATTATCCTTCAAATACAACCATGTAAGAATGGGTTTCGTACTAGATATTGAATAGAAAACGTAATCTAATAGATCCTTCGATAACTTGAAAATTGCTGATAGATCTTCTAATGGCCAAATCGTATTACCACTTTTCCAGTATAGCTGTCGGGTAAGTAATAGTTTGTTGACATCCGGTTATAGAAGTAGAATTCGTTCTTACATTTCTTTTAAGCACTGAAGATATTTCGGCTTCTGTTTTCTACTTCACGTTGTCACTTTTCTAGCTTTTCCTACCCGTTCTATTCTTATTCATCATATGCAAAAAAATAATTTCATGGGTAGGCTATGCAATAAAAAATGGACAGCATAAGGGCATGGGAAGACCGATTTAGTCACTGAAGTAAAGTTTTCAATTGACGCTTAAAAATAAATGTGGATTTAATAGGTGTACTCAGTTTAGAAATATAATTATTGTCGACAAAGTTTTAACGAGAACTGAGAAGCATGTAAATGTTGCTTAAACCAATAATAATTATGTAGCTGTTTTACATACTATCTCCGCGTGGATATGTTTATTTGTTGTTTGGATGTTATAAAAATTTCATTGAAATCTGTTGTATAGTATTGAACTTAACATCCGATTCTCAATATAAGAATATAACACACTTTTTTCTTCAGTAGTTTGTTTACAAACTCCAACTGGTTTGCATTCCAAGACGACAGAATTGGTGATGCCAATGGAGGTACAACATCATCTGATATGATGGATGAGATAAACTTGAATGGTGCTGCTAATGGTGGTAACAACAGTGACGATGAGGTAGTGGTTGGAGAGGATGAAGAATTGGATGAAAGCAAAAATACTATGAATGACACATCTAGCTCTAGCACAAACTTCTTTGGTGGATTACCAGGTAGCAATTCCGGGAATGGAGGTGCTTCAAATGATACAGGTTTCTTCAGATTTGAGGCATCAGACAAGGAAGAGTGTTTTGGTGACAGGCCTTTGCCCGATTGGGTGGGATGGGGAGAACCTTCAGATATGCAAGTAACCGGTGCAAGCATGAACCCATTTGTGGATCATGATGAGTCTGGTAGCAGCCCTTCTACTAAGCCTCAAATAGGTAGCCCTAATTCTAACTCTCCAAAAGCAGAATCTATTTCTTCGAATGGTTCACCAAATAGTAAAGATTTGATTGACGGGGTTGGCGACTCAACTCAAAGATCAGCAGCAGTGCCCTCACTATTTGAGGAGGATGTTGAATTTGTAGGTGTAGAATTAGAAGGTACTGAGAAGGCTATGGAACAGGCTCTTAAAGAGGGGATAGTTGGGGAAGCAGGACCGTTGAAAAGAAACATGTCCCCAAAAGCAGCCGAAAAGGAAAACTCCGAAGACGGTAATCCTGGAATGAAGGAATTCAATGACGCCAATTACTGGAGGGTTGATCAAGAGGTTGCTGTTCTGGAGTGATGACTGATGAGCATTATGGTAAATCATGCTTTTAACTGTATGGAAAGTTGGGTGGGCGTCAACACCAATGGACGCAATTCTTGGTTTGCAGGGGCGTATGGAGCAAACTGATGTACAGTATAATTTTGTTTCAATTATGTCCTATTTCTTTTCACGCTTACTAGATATTCAGCTTGTTTATTATTCTAAGTTTTGCTTTTATCCTGTAAGTGAGTGATTTAATTTTATGGGGGTCTCCCACATTTATCGTATTGACTCTGCCCTACGTTTTGGGCTCATTTCCACGTTGATGCTAAATGTTCGCTGAAGTGGAGGCTTTATTTCTACCTGTTCTATATGTTTTGTATGGTTAAACTGAATTACAGCATAACTTTGGTAACTATACAATGCCTCAGGGATAATTTACCAACATAATTTTAATCTTTTCATTTCATGCCATGGTTGTACTTCCATTTTTATTTTTATTTTTGTAGTTTTACTCTGTATTTCCTACTTGTAAATGTGATTGTTGATAGTGGTAACCCTTTGGTTTGAAAAATATCCTTGCGGGTTTTTTTTCTTGCAAAAATTTAATTTATGATAAATATGTAAGATTCCATTGAATTCATATATCAGATTCCATATCAATTCTCTTGCAACCTATGTTGCTCTAGGTAGTGGCAAACTTCTTGAAGGAAGTTGGCAACATTTGTTCTGTTTCTTATGAACGGTATCTGTAAGACACTCCGATGTCAAAATGAGGTTTAAAGTTTAATGTAAGTAAGACTCTTCGATGTCAAAGTGGGGTTCAGAGTTTAATGTAAGTAAAGAGAGTATGAGAGTGTAAATGATTTAATACCTGACTGTTGTATCTCAATTTTTGTCCTTAAGATTTCTTCATCATACCATTTTGATTCAATCACAACAAGATCGCATTAGGATTTGTGGTTCTTCTCCTTATCTTTAGCTTTGCTCTTTGAAGAATTCCCAAGCACCTTGACTTGTTTTCTTTTGTGATCATGAATATTTTGCTTTGATTTTCTTCATAATTAATAAAATGTAATGTTGGTTTGTTTTGTTAATAATGTAGGTAAAGGTAATGTGACTTAACAAGTTGATTCATGGGTTCATGAGTTTATTTCTATGCTCTAGTCAATAAAGCTTGAGAAATTCAAACTTCACCATTGAAGTTGTTTTAGAAGAAATGACATGGCAAGGTTTATTTTGGTTCACTACATTTCAAAGTTATCAAATTGATTCAACAGTACAAGGGGTTAATTGAAGATGTTGTCATGGTTGGACAAGGTCTTGTTCCCATTGGTCACAAGTGCATATTTCTCTCAATTTTCAAGATATGAAAGTGGTTTTGTTTTCTATGAGTTCTCATTATCATCCTCAACAACTTTTATTTACAAAGCAAGAGTGTTGGTATAGGAAGGTTGTTCAAAATTGTCAAAGTTTCTCAAAGCATTTTCTTGATCTAGGAGTTAGGGTTTTGAACTTCAAAGAAGTATATCTTGCTCACCTTTTGGTATTTTTGAGTGATTCTAAAGACATCATTCTCTTTAAAGGGTTATTAACAAATCATTTCAAAAGTTTTAAGGAGTTTTCGTGTGGAAGAAACTTGATGATGAAGAAAGATTACAAGTCCTCCAGATGAACCTCCAATTTCTCAGGTGTGACTTTAAATGATCATAACTTGGTCAATTTTTATCACTTTGAGCCCACTCTTTCTTCACAATGATGTTGAGGATGTGAACTTTATTCCTTCTTTTATATGCAAAGTGAGAAAATGGATAAAAGATTTCCTAAAGATACAAAAGATTATAAGTCATTTCATGATTTTTTGCCAACTTCAACAATTCATAACTCTCAATTTTTGGAGATTTTGAATGGTTTAAGTTTCAAAATGTCATTCAAGAGGTCTATTTCATGCCATCTTCTTTGGTCAAGAGCAAATTCCAAGTGGAAGGTCATGTTTGGATGCAAAATATTATAGGTCACTTTTGAAGAAAAATTTAAAATATTTTTAAATATGGAAAGTCAACTTTTTTCCCTCAAATTTTGATTCAATGCAACTTTCATCTCAAGTATCCATTTAATTCCATTTTTTTCCATTGTAAAGTTTGTAACTTCATCTTTCTAAAGCATCAAGAATCGTGCCCTAAGACCCCTCGAGTTGAAAATATCATTGTTTTAAAATTAGTAACTTGGAACTGAATTTCTCACAAAGTCAGAATTTTGAAATCTATAATGTGGTCTCTAATCACAAGATTTATGTGTGTTTTTGATTTAAAGTTGATTAACAAATTTTCCAGAAGTGTTTAGCACCTCAAAACGCAAAGATTAGATGAGTTTTAGTAAAAATAAGATCACACTTCACTTATGCATCAGGTTCACACGGATTCCCTCTAAAATGTATCATTCACTCTTCATTTTGATCTCATTTGCTTATCCTATAAATACATAAACTATCCCATTCATTTTCTCAAGCTTGGATAGCCAGAATCATCCTGACAAACTTGCTCCATAACTCAATTTTCTGTAACTCCGTAATCAGTGTTCAAGCCTTTTTCAATCCAATATTTCTATCAATTCACCTTCCTTGATCTTCCCTGAAGCTAACCATACAATTATCTTCAAGAATCGTGTCCTATATTGCTCCATATAAGTCTAGTTTTAGAGCTCCGCAACTCAATTTTCTCCATCAATTCTTCAAAATTTTGATATCATTGTGAATCTCTCTTTGCCTTAGTTCTAGTCGCAACACTTACTTTTATCTGAAAATACGTTTTGACCATGAAATTTCAAATCACTTTTCAAAACTTTCTTTCCAAATTGTTTGAGGTACATTTTATATAAATTTGTCGCGAAGATGTGGTTGTCTTCGTCTTGAAGAGACAGAGCGAATGACATAGGTCTGAGCTTTTGATTTTATAGTTTGGAAGACCTGCAATTCACGTTGGCTGGAGGTTGAAGATGACCAACGTGTTATCTTCCAACCAATGAAGGCGCGTCACTTATTTTTTTGAATTTTCCGATTTAATAAGTGATCCAGTGTTTTATTCACTAATGACCATGATATGCACAACGCGCTAAATCCCTTGGATTTGATTACTAACATATTTTGACTCTCATCCATTGGTCAACATCTTTTTGATTTTTATTTTATTTTCTGATTTTTATATTTAATTGTTTTAAACTTCAAAAAATCATAGAAAATTCATTTAGTCTAAAAAATCTGAAACAATTATGAGAAACATTTTTGATTTTTCTCTTTCTGATTTTTATTTTTTCACAATTTTATTGTGATTTGATGTTTTTTATAAATTTTCACTTTATTTAAATTGTTTTAAATGTTTAAAAATATTTTTATGTATTTTTAAATTCTGAAAAAATCATGGAATGATTCAATGATATTGTGGTAAATATTGGTGATCTCATTTATTTTTTATTTCTGACTTTGTTATTTTTTTTAATCATTTTTGGTTTATTTTACCTATTTCTTTTAATTTTTAAAAATAATTTCTGACTTTAAAAAATTACCAAAATTTTTGTAAAAATATTTGAGTCCTTTTCTGATATTTTTATGGTCTTATTTTTTATTTCTTGATTAATTTGAACATAGTTGATATTTTCTCTTTTATTTCTATTTTAAAATATTTTAAAACCTTTTTAATGTATATATTAAATGCAATATTATTTTGTGATTATTTTCTGGCTGATCTTGAATTGAATTTTTGATTATGAACTTTGTTAAAATCATTGGATCCATGGTGTTGAGTTTAACTCCATAAAAATGGATGAATGATTTTAATAATAGTTTAATTAAAATTTAATTTAAATTGTTTTGTATTCTTTTCCACCCCTCTTCATGTCATCCTTTTCTCATTGCACTAAGTGTTGTTGAAGCATGGTCTCTATATCATGTCTCAAAATAAATGGTGCATAGATTGCTATTGACCGGCCTCAAAATAGGTGCGACTTCTATATAAGTCCACTTACGATTGCTTAATATAGCGCTAAATTTTGTCCCGATTCGAATAAATGATCACCCGCGGCCTAAATCTATGTTTGCAAGCTCAAGTATATTAATTTAATCCTTTTGATCCAATAACTTTGAGATTCATTGTGTTGAGGCTTTGGTTATACCAATCCTCTAATGGATCTACAACACTTTTGGTCAACGCAGATCACTTAAACATCGTTGATCATTAAATGGTACTTGTCAAGATTCCAAATGGATGATATACTTGATAAAAAGCAAATGCAAATTGTTGTGTGGAGGCTTTGGTTCTACCAATCCTCTAATGAGATCCAAATGTAAATTTCAAGATGGTCATCCAACTAACCACTAATTATTAAATTGTTTTTATTTTATGCTTTATTTTTTATGCTTTATGTACCATTTACTTTAAGCATTATATTTCATGCCATTTTTATTTTTCTCACTTGAGCATTTATATTCTTGTTATTTTTATTTTGCTCACTTGAGCTTTTCTTTTCTCTTTTAAGACACCTAATAATCAACATGAACCCTAAAAAAGGCTTTAATGATACTTGGACTATTTGGTTACTATCCTTGGCATTGTGGAGTATTGGACTTCTTGGACTTAGGATTTGAAACCTTGGCCTATGTTGGAGACCTTGGACCTTAATTGATATTTTGTTTGGAGTTCTTGAGGTTTACCTCAGGACATTGGGTTTTTTGTTTCGTGTGCAGGTTATTGTGATTATATTATTTGTTTATAATCTGAAATTCACCCGTATACAACCGTTATTCTGCCCAATTTTTTGTGTAGACTTAATACACTTGAAGTTTGGTTCTCTCAAGAGGTCTAGTATCTTTGCTTGTTTAGTTCCAATCTAAGGAATGCGAATTCTATCTTGACTCATAATTTCAAGTATTGGCTTCTTGTTGGTTAGATGGTTCTTATCCTTAGCTTTTTACCTTATGCTTTAGGATAGTCTCTTCTTCTCCTCTCATCTTCTTTAATTTCAAAAATCTTCTTCCTCCTTTT